TCACCAGTTGTCAGCTGGGATAGGCGTCTGGGGGAATGTCTGGTGTCTCGTCATGTGTTGATTACCTATTTTTTACACCTGGGGTTCCCCTCCCTCATGTGTTTAAATAGTCCTCATTTCCCATGTCCTGTGCCAGTGCGTTTTTGTTTTTCATCTGTCTGTTTTCGTCCCCCCACGTCGGGTTTGATTTTGTCACAGCCTAGTTTTCTTTATTGCCATAGTCTTGTTTTTGTACCATAGCCATGTTTTTGCCATAGCCTTGTTTACCTTATTTGATACTTTGTTCATGTTTTTGTCGCAGCCATGTTTTTGTCACAGTCATGTAATCTTGTCTTGCTTTGTTACTTTGTTCATAGTTTTTTCACAGCCTTGTTTTGTCCCATGCCTGTCATCCACTCCTTTGAGTGCGTTTTTGTTCAAATAAACCTTGTTCACATATCTCCGCGACTGAGTCCTCCTCCAAGATCCACCTTTCTTGACACCTACAACAGAACACTAATGAACTCTCCTCTACTGTTTTGTTTTTTGAGAAAAAAAGCGGAATTGTAATGTCAATTGTAATCTGAGTACTGCGTAGCAAGCACATCCTTCCTTGATCGTCTAATACTTTTGTTTTTTCTTACAAAACTTTACATGAATTGAATAATGCCAAACCTGACAGGTGACAGGGAGAAAGGGAGACCAAATAAAAAACTAGCCTGAAAAGGAGAATGATCCTTATGGAAAAACAGAGAGAAAGATTGAGGAAAAAAACAAAGAGCTGCTATGAAAGCAGCTATATCTGTAGAAAACGGAAAACATAATGTGGCATCTATGGGGAATCTAAGCAGAGAACCTTTCGGAGCACCTGCAAACGGACACAAGGAAGACAAAAAAACAAGCAACAAAAGACACTGGTAGCAAGGATGTACAACAAGTATCTCACTTCGAAGAAGCTTAAAAGTACAGTATATGTCCAAGTTAACAAATGGATGTGTGTGGGCATGAACATGCAAGAAACGCAGCCAAGGTTTCACACGGATCGTGCTCTGTTATGAGTGCAGGGGACCACATGTTACCACCCACCCCCCCAGCGATCCAAAGCAGTTAGAGTGGACCAACACTCAGTCCATGGCAGACATCCTGGAGCACAGAACCCTATGCATGCGTCCAGATGCCCACAGATGAAGCCTCCTGACAGACCAAAGACTGTAGGGCGCACCCTGGGAACCATGAGTGGCAGTGCCCCAGCCCCACCAGGCCCCATCCCCCAGACATAGACTTTGAACAAAAGCCATATCAGCCTGGGCACCAGTAGAGGCCCCTCAGCAACCGAAAAGGCCAGGCACCCCAGTATGCCAAATGTAGCGGGCCTGCACACGCCCCAGCATCACCCACTTATTCCCCCAGGAGCCGTGGTGTGTCCACAGGTTTGTCCAGCTGTGGGGTGAAAGCCTGGGTGGCGCTTACACCAGAACACCAGGAACAGCACAAGTTAGGCCCAGAGGACAGCAACCCCCAGAACCAGAACCAACCACAGCCATCCATATCAGACCCACACGTAAAAAAACACAATGACCAACACTAAACAGAAACACTTCAGACACTTTGACATCACATACTTAGACTCCACATCCTTGGTCCCCCAATCACCTGGCAGCACCCGGGCAACAAGGGTGTAGTAAGATCTTTGTCCTTCTGGCTCTATAATGTGAGTTGAAGACTCCTCTTCTATGAGTATTTAAAACTGAGTCGGGGGGAATCTTGTACATCTTGGAGCAAGGCGTTTCGAGCAGTCCCACCCATCCAAAGAGCCCCACCCACCTGATATCACTGAGTAAACCCATCTACCAGGGCCTAATGTGCATGTACGTGTTTGTATGATAGGTAGTGATGTCTTTTAAACTCAAGGGTGGGGGATTTGCAGGGCCCAGAAAAGAAGACCTCATAAGTAGTACCCAATAGATCCCACATAGCCCCCAAAACACTACATGTGTGAATGTGTTTTGTGAACTGGAGCCAAAGGGGAGGATAGCAAGCCCCAGGCCTTCCCTAAGACCCAGCACACACCAGGAGGGCCCAAAATCCACCAAGTCTGGGACCCCGTGCAACAGGGGGGCCACTCAACACAAAAACACTTATCCACCTTCTCCAATAGTTTTTTTCTTTATTATTCAGGTTAAATAAATGGTTGAATTAATGGTCAAAACAGAAGTTGTGAATTATTAGGAAAATGTTTTGTAACTTTAGTTTTTTTTCAATTTTTTTTTTAAACTTATATTGTATATGTTAATAATATAATAGTAGAAATATATGCTAAATTAGAGTTGTTGTAGGGATTTGAATGTAAAATATACATTCAGATTTTAATATTCTATTCATAGTTGACAAATATTCTGTTCCATTTGTTTTATTCAGAGAAAAAAAAAGCATATATTTAACATATGGAATGTCAGGTGTGTCGTACTTTGTTCTGTCATGAGGGGTGGTTCTTGAAGGGAGGACTCAGGTGCGGAGATGACGGAAAAACAAGGTTTATTGTAACAAAAACACTCATGAGTGAGTGAATGTCCAGACAAAGAACAAATCAAGGCTGTGGAAAACTGTGAGCAAAGTATCAAAGCAATAAGTAAACAAGACTGTGGCAAAGAAACACATTAAAGATTAACAAAACTGTGACAAAGCTGTGGCAAAACTATGACAATGGCAAAGTAACAAAATAAAGAATAACAAGACTGTGGCAAAAAGCAAACCTGGACTGACGTGGGGGTGACGAAAGACAGACGGACGAAAACACACTCGCACCCGACAAGGGGAAACAAGGACCATTTAAACACATGAGGGAGGGGAACCCCAGGTGAACACAATAGGTAATCAAGCCATGACGAGACACCAGACATTCCCCCAGACGTGACAGATTCTTAAGATAAATATGAATCTCATTGCTGATGCCACACAGGAGTTTGCTCGAAGGAGGCTTAGATTTGACCAGCATTACTTGTCAACAACACAGAAAAAAATGTTTGGGAAGATGCCCCAATGTCTTTAAGAACATTAAAAGATGTCTTTTTTTTATTCCCATGAACTTGTTTTGGCTCAAAGATCATTATTTTGAACATACATTTCCAACTTTAATCAGAATGTGGTACATTTCCTATTGTGCAATGCTGCTTTTATTGTTTATGACTGTTGCTGGTACATTTGTGAGAGTTTCATTCCTTTAGATATGTTCCACATCTATTATGCAAGAGACTGGTTTATTGTGCAACAACAAGTTTGTGAGAATACAAAAAATTCCAAGGCAGCTCCCCTGGGCAACTGTCATGCTCTGAATGTGTCACTGTTCGGACTGGTTGAGGCAAACATGAAGGGATGTTTAGATTATTTTACGATTGCTACCATATCTGACTCTTCCCTTTATTCAGATGAGAGTGCAAGAGGTCCGAGGCCAATATTTTAAACCCTTCACATACAGGAAGAAAAATTATTTACAAAAGCTGAGGGTTTCATACAACATAAAAATCAAAGACCTCTATTGTAGAATATCTTACATGAAAATGTTATGATAAAATCTATTATATATATTGCACATTTGTATTTCCATTGCATTAATAAAAGTTGATTGAATGTACACTAAAATATATTTGACCCTTTTTTCATATTTGTTTATGCTCTGACATTGCAGTTTAAGCATATATCTTACTCCTCTACTAAGATTCTCAGGGTGGCAGCGTTCTACATTTTTAATACACTTTAGTGCATCAGGTTACCAGGTTAAAATTATTGGATCATAAACGAGCTTGTGAAGAACTTGAAGACAATTTGTAAACAACAATCATGAGTGTTGAGACAGGACACAGTAAATTCTACTAACGCATATTGTTGTGGTTTTTGACACCCATATTTTGCTGTAGTTTGGGATGGCAATAAATCAATTGATTTTTGAAGACAGGCTGTTCTTCCTGAATTAGTTTCTGCCAGAGGTTTCTTCCAGTTGGAATACTTTTTTTTTTTTTCCGCATAAAAAAAACATTTGTTGAGTACAGTTTCCTTTGCAAAGACACCTTTTTCAAATTAACCTGTATTAAAAGGATGTATTGGAAATTTGATAACTTGAACTGATTGGATTTTGATTGTATTACAATTAATTGGATTCCAGTTGTCTATAATAGATAGCGATCTGGACTAATTAACTAGAGATTGAGATCTTGCTAAGCCTTACAGCAACATTGGAAGTCAGCTTTCGTTTTTAAACTCTGGATATGTGTACACCGATGTTAAATGGTTGGATTTGGCATGAGGTGACCAGTCATAACAATTAATTCTAGATTACAAGGAAAAAAGGGTGTAAAAAATCCCAATACCAAACAATTTGAAGTGGAGGTTCAAATGCTGACCTAGATCAGAGCCATGTATTTTAGGATCTATCATGCAAATCTAATCTAAAATAATATAATAATCATTCTCTTATACTTCTAATTGCTGTTATATTTGTTTGTAGCAAAAAAAACCTAAATATCTGTTTGCCCAATTGCATTTGAATGTGTACAACGAGGTAAAAAATGACTACCAAATGGATTGATATTCTACTTGAAAATGGATATGTATTGATTGGTTTCCTTCTCAGCTGGAACTGAAGGCTTGTACAGTGGAGAGGCACAGAGTGTTTGGTTAAACTAACAACTACTGCTACTACTCTGGAAATGGGGAATGATTTAATTCCCAATGTCAATTTTCTTACCTCTTCTGTTTTCAGACTGATCAAGCTGGAAGAGTACTTCTTTTAAAGTTCCTGGAGACACCATGTCTCTATTAAGGAGGGGATGAAAAACATTTGAGAGGAATCCAATGTACAAACTCAGTTTATCCAAGGAGTACGCAGAACACAGATAGTCCAAAATCCGAGTGGGATAATCCAGAAACAACAGCGAGGTTAAAACATTAATACCCACCAATCAGTCCAGGATCCGAGAAGGTGTCCACTAACAAGGTGAAAGTAAAATAAAAAAAAACACTAGATATCAGATGTCAAGATCGAATGCTGAGATGCTGAGAGAAGCCATGAATACTGAAGAAAAGAAACAGGAGACCTTAATAGGGAGCAGGTACTTGTCACCACCAGATGAACATAATTAGCAACACATCCGTGGGCGGGACTGAGAACTAACAGGCTTGATAGGGGGGGATAACATGTTGGAGTTAGATGGAATTTGAAAGGCATATTGTGCAGTTGTTTGTCCATTAAAAAAAAATATGTAATGGTCAGACTAAAACAACAAAAAAAATTTAATGGTCAAATGCGTGTTTATCCAAGGTGTTTATTTGTGATGATTTGGTCCATATTCTTGTTGATTTTGTAAAGAAAAATGGACTGAAAATGAGAAAGGATCCACAAAAAAACAAAAAACTGATAACCAATTAGGAAACCAGGACATTGGACAATCAGAAAAACTTGAATTAAAAAAAAGAAAAAAAGAAAACACCACATGGAGTCATTTAAATTAGTTGTTTTTTTTGTGAATAAAAAAAGTCAAAGTTAACTGAAACAAGCTTTACAGTAATCAATTTCAGTTTCAGGAAATATAAGCATTGCCTTCAATTAATCCTTTGCCAAAAAAGTACCTCCTGTGTCAAAGTTAAACTGTCAAATTTAATCCTTGAATCTAGTCAGTTACCAAAATTCACTAACTGTTAACCACAATGACATATTATTGTTTAGGCTTTGATTTTGCCTGTGTGACAGATCCATTGACAGTAATTCGAGTATCTTTACCAGGAATGTGTCAAGAAGACCTTACCATAACGTTTGATTTATTGGTGAGGGACATTATTTTGAAATCATTTAAGAAGTTCCTGGAAAATCTTGAAGTTTTTATTCAAAGTAACGATAGAATACTACTGTTCCAGAACTTTTTGCAGCGTTTCATAATTCGTAAATTGTTTGATTTATCAAGTATCTAATTTCCATGGAAACATAATTGAAGTAAATATAATGGCTGATAGATCACGAGTATAAGTATATAGTATAAAAAACTAACTTTGATGTAATCTAATTTTATTTTAGAAAGGTAGCTATATTAGAGATACAATCCAAGGTGGACAGTGACTTGTGGTGATAGTTTATTGTTGAAGAAGTTAAAAGTTTTTTCCATATTATTTTCATTTAGCCTCACATTAGCTTTGGGTTTTAGGGGTGCCCAAAGTCGGTGCTCAACATACCTGATTCTGGTCAGGGTGCAATAATCAGAGCATTTGAACTGATCAATTTAATCATAATGAAGTGTGTTAAAGCAGGGAAACTTCTAGCAGGACAGCGGCCCTCGAGGACCGACTTTAGGAACCCCTGGGTTAAGTGTTCCTGTGCTTTTATATTGGTGTTTGTCTTGTTTTTTTCCACATGATCACTCAACTCCCTCCACCTGCATCTCTCAGCTTCCTGCTTTCATTTCACTAATCCCACTCTCCTTAATAAAAGCATCTCATTCATGTCGCTCCTTGCCAGATCCTATCGCCATACTGTCACTACATCGTTATACCGTGTTCAAGCCTCCATGTGTCCGTCTCCGGGCTTATTTCCTCATCTTTCTCCCAGTCCGTGTCTGGGTTTTGTTAGTTTTAGGTGTTGCTTTGGTTCTTCTCAAGTTAGTCATTTTGTATCTGGTTCTGCTCTGCTTTTTGATTTTTTTTTCAAAATGTTTAGTAGTTTTCTTAAGTTTCCTTGTATATTTCCTGTGTTTCCCTGCATTTGGATCCTCCTCTTCAATTCACCACAGCACTTCCCACCACACCCAGTAATCTGACACAAAATCTACAGCTAATTAGCTAAAGAAAAGTCTTCTAGCACTGGGGGATGATCGAAGAAGATTCTGAAATCTTAACAGAACTGATGATCAATATCACACCTATATGAACTGTATTCCCACTACAAAACAGACTGTCTGTCATCAGTGCGTAGGCTCCTGACCAGCTCTACAGTTTTGAGACTGTACTGATTTGCATTGCTCCTAGTAAAGGACCGCTTTACTGCACTGCGGAAATTAATTTTTAGATCGAGTGTTTATAGATCAGCATAGTTTTAAGACCCTACCTGTAAAAATGGACACCCACGTTGGAAGTGATTTACCTGGGATCGTAAATCTGCCCCCTTCATCTTGTGCCACTAACCTGAATCGAGGCGTTAAACAAAAGAACGACCTGCTGACTTTACGCTTCGCTTGGGCTTGATCGTGATTAGTGTCTGACAGCTGACACCTGTGCAGCATTTAGAACATATGCACATGTCTAAAGCCCAGCAGAATCTTTAACTTGCACTTCACTGTCACATTTCTTCCATCTCATCTAATTTCCATGAATTTTGTACATGCTTCTTGACACAAATTTAAATTTCCGACTTTAGCTGTCAAGCAAGATTACTTGACATTTCTCAACCCATGGGATAAATGTGGTTATTCTTCTTTCAGTGTAGTTGTTGATTACCTGTGCTCAGTCTTTATTGGGGAACAAAGAATAAAATGGACGCTCCTGGTAATTAAAGGGTTATTTTTTGTGGGAGCCTTTTGCATTTATTACAATCTTACGCGGAAGGTGGAAGAGGTCTTTATGTGGCAACACAATTACCAGGTTATTCAAATTATCTAAGTAAAAGGCTGAGTTTAAAGCTTTCAATGTGAAATGAAACAAAGTCATTTGTATATCGTCTGCATGTGATTAATGTGTGGATAATTGGTCTGAACACACTGGTCCGAAATAGCTGAGCTCGCCATGGATTCCCCTCAATCCTTCAGGCAAGATGTAGCGGAATATTCTGAGGAGGTTAAGCTATTGTTAACGCCACAATGCCTAATCATTCCCCCTGAAATAACAAGGAAACATTCCTGAAATACTCGCCAATGGAAAGATTAACTGGATTAGCAAACAGATGATGCAACCAAGCAGTGATAACTGAGGGTTTACATCATCTACGTAAGGAAATTCTTCATCAGTAACAAATTAAAATTCAAACTTTCCCCTTTGTTACACAATGAATGTAAACAATGTCAGTTTTTATGTGAAAAAGACATGCCAAAAGAAAAAAAAGATTCTGACTATTCATGGACACATATAATTCATAAAGGTAATATGTATCATGGATACCAGGAGGACTTCATCTTTCTTTCAGGCCGGATGTCAGCATGGATAAAGAAGAAGGAATAAAAATAATAGATTCGGTGGGGACATAGCTGGGATTTTTTGTTTTAAAGTGGATTGTAAATCGTTGGCTTGGAGAACCACTGTGGGATTCTTATGGTCTCTCCTTATGAATAACTGTGGAAGTCCTATAGCCTTAATAACCTCCCTAACTCAGTGCTCTCTTCTTCGTTCTGTCACTTTGGTCATCTCCATCCAGAGTAATACAAAGTGACCGTACGCCAGGGAATGGCAACAGCATGGGATGATTTGTCATTCCTTAGAGCAGCTTGTGTCCTGCAGGAAGCCAAATAATGATTTTAACTGCCCGTCTAAAAGATTGATCTTCCTAATCCTCCCCACCTTTCTCCCTGCTGAAAGGTGCAGACTAATTTACGACAGGGCCGACGATAGGCACGCCACGCCTGTGAATAAATGATCTGGCTCCTGAAAAAAAGAGGTAATTTCCCCTTAATGTAGTGCTGTAAACATTAATCATCACACTGAGCTGACAGCATATTGACACGGTAAAGACTATTCATCTGCTGCGTTTAATCTGCGGAAAGGTCTTCTTTTGATAAGAGTTGTAGTTTAATTGCATAAGACCATATATTTTTCTCATAAAAAGAAAATATTTGAAAGGATTGCCTCTTGGCAGTATCAGGAAGAGAGATACAGAGAATAATAAAAAATAGTACCTGTACTAGCATCATCTATTTGCGGATTCACTGTTGTTGGCATGTAGGAGCTCCCATTCCTTTACTCTTGTGGACTCTTAATAAGCAGTTACTCTTGCTGTTCATGTTTTCATCAAGGTAATGCATGAAAGTGTTCTTCAATTAAAGTTCAACCATGCATTGTATGCATATTATGTTCATGAATTCGTAAACAATTGCCAATCTAAATCAACAAGACGTAAAGCAACATTAGCATTGATTGGGAGCCATGTTTCTGTCAACCTGATGAATGTAAGTCCAGCGCCTCTTCTTTTTTCCCCCATCAGCACTTGAGGAAAATACTGTAATTCTATTGACTTACATGCTAAAGTTTGTTTTTACATGTGAAGTGGATTCATCAGAGCTCATTTTGTGAAAACATTTCCCAGCTGCTGCTGGCAACGAGAGACTCGGCGCTCCTTTTAATTTTGTTCTCAGTTTTGTTATTTAATTAAAATCAAGTAGTGGTAATTAAAACATCCAATTTCTCCTGGTTGAAGGCTAAATAACCGTTACTCCTCACCATCCTACCACTACAAAACAGGCACAGAATGAAGTATGGGTTTTTTAGCCTGTATGTGCAACAAAATCATTAAAAAAATGTTTATCCATCAGCAACTTCCTGGCCGGGGAAATTAGTAAGTATCTGAAGGGATTTACAGTCAATTTTCATCGGGAAAACATTGTTTTCATTGTGTACAGAAGATTGTGTGACAGTTGACAGATTATAAATCAAAGAATGATCTATGATAATTTTATGATGAAATTGTAAAGAACGAACACACAAACATCTAGTATCACTTTCAGTGTTCAGTCAAAGAAAACATTGGTACTCATAAATTCAAACTTCAAACAGCATCTCAGTTACTGCATTCTCTAACCATGCTCTTCAGGATTCTTCCCTCTCACTTTAGGGCCAAAAGATCATCAAGTCACTGTGAGGCGAGCCAAGATCAGCCCTCCTCTTGTATTTGATGACAAGTCCAAAGCATATTAAATCCAGTCACACGGGAAGATCAATACCAGCGGAGCGCTTTGACACTTGTCCACCGGGGTGACGGAGCGTGGGTGTGCATTTGCATCACACTGTGGACAACTATCTGTGACGGTGTTAAAGTTCACTACCAGAGACCAGGGTAGATCAATCCTTATGCTGCCAATCACAATACAAGTCAAATGACCAATC